TAGTTTCATCTCTTACAATTTATATTGTAGCAAAAAGCTACAAGGGGCTTCCAGCATCTACAGCCATGCTCACAGCTCCGTAAGGCTGTACTCTGTGCTTCAAGCTAAATGCTAACACAAGCATGCTAACACACTCAAAATGATCATTAGCATTACTAGCATTACCATGTTAATATTTGTATATATAATATAATGGTTACCATATTAGTTAAGCATGTTATGCTAACATTGCTTAAGTACATGACAGCAACAGATAAAATGTCCTGGGATCAAAGTTTCTACAATATATCCTCTGGGGACCAGGACAGGATAGCAGCACTGATTTCAATTGATTTGATTCAATTTCAATTCACAAATTCCAGAATTGATTCAATTTGATTTGATTCCATTCAATTCTTAATGATTCACTTACATCAGATAAATACTAATGTTGGTTAAAGCGATTCTCAGAATGTATCCCTTCATCTAGTTATCAGTAATAATAATTCATACTTACAAAATGTTTGTGTAGCTGTGATTTAATAAAAAATCGCAATTAGCCAATCAGTCAGACTATCAAAAATTAAGATATCAGACTCAGCCAAGAAAATTGCAATCGGTGCATCTCAAGCAAAAATAATCCAAAAAAAAAAAAACAGGGCCAACATTAAGGTGTGTCACAGCTTGTCTGGGACAAGTGGATGTTTTTGTTGGGCAAGTGGAAGAGAAATTTACTGCCTCCACTGAACAAGTTGAAAGTCATAAAGAATCAAACAAAAAAAATACTGCGTCTTCATATCACGTGTCACTCATTCATGGCCGATCCTTCCATTGAGGTCAATTTTCTGAGGTGTACGAAATAAAAGTCATGGAACAACTGCCTAAATATAACTCTACATTGCTGCTGCAAAGATACAATACAAAGCCAAGAAGGCCGACTTGCTTCTCTGTGGGTAGGTGACAGAGAATGATCTTGTCATTACTACAAAATCTTTTCACAACACCGTGGTTCTTTAATTATGTGAACACACTGGACAGGCAGATGAATCCACCGGAGTGTGACACAGGTAACTAGAGAATTTCAGTAGCAGACTGCTTGTAGTTCAATGCCTTACATCCCCAGATATTATCTGACGAATAGCACCTGCTGATGTCGGCCAGTTAACTAGATCTCCAACATCAATTCCACCCATCCAATGTCAGACTTACAAACTCTAAAGTTGAAATGCTTTTCTTTTAGTTCAGTTTATGTAAAGCGTGGTAATGCATAATAAAATGAGGTACCCCTATACATTTCTATTTTCATTACAAGATTACCCTTGCAGAAGCTGGTAACATTTGCATATAGATATCAATTTACACTGTGTTTACTCTCTTCACTGACACAGACGAAAATGAAAAGACGGCATCAATCAAGAGGGATAGAGATGAGGAGACGGAGAGAAAGAGAGAGAGAAAGTGATGGAAGGAAAGAAGGAAAGGAAGAGCAGGTACACTGAAAAAAGTGAAATTTAAGTAAGATGAATTGTCGGGCAATATATGCTTGTTTTTTGTCTAACAAGGTATCTCTTCTTGCCAGTCTTCTGTTTGAGTGTTTTCTTAAAAACCTTGGCAAGGGAAATTTTCTTGTTCTGTTGGCAGATACATTTGCTTATTCTAAGTTATACATTCATCATTTTATTGTTGTTATTCAGAGCTGAGTTTTAACAGTTCCCAGGATGGGATTAGCATTATGTCCCTGTGCTGTTCAACACAAAAACTAACTGGCCTGATCCCATTCACACAATGTTTACCACAAAGAAGTATGTTCTTTAGTAATTACAGTGGAACCTATATGCTCAATTTAACAACAATAATACAGTATTATTATATGAATATAGCTATTCCTCTGCCTCCTTTAGTGATAATGGTACATGTAATAAATGTAGTGTATCTGCCTTAATGGAGGCAAGGATCAGTGACTTGGAAGCGCTGGGGTTCCTGAGCAGCTGTGAAGCCAGAGCGGTGTTGTAAATAGCGTGATTACATTGTCCATAGAGTCAGTGCCCCCCCACCCCCACACCAAAAAAAAAAAAAAAGAAAACGTGATAATGGCGGTCGGTGAGGGTTGATTACATTTGTGAGCCCAGTCCCAGAATACGCTCTGACTGAATGAATGACAGGCTGACAGAAAAACTTGATAGATCTTTATGAATTGTTTGATCGACCCATCAATGTGGCGGTCCCGGTGCGCCTGATGGCCAGTCCGACTATGGAACAGTCTGTTGTGCAAACAACAAAGGCACAAATGTGTACACAATCCAGCCACTAGGTTTATACCCAGTCTTGTTTTCAAGAGCCTGAACCACATTTGACAAAGCTTTCCCACTGCCACAGAAGCTATCATATAATTTCTTCCACAAGCTAGTATTCCTCTTGAGGAGTAAATTTATTTCCATGTGTAAAATCAGTAAAGTGCTCCTTTAAGGTCAGGGGCATCAATACATAGCATTTCCATATGCAAACTAACATGCATCTGATGTCAGAAGAACAGATACTTCGTTACTAAGTCGATGCCAAAATTCTGAAAACGTGACAGTGCTTGTTCTTCTACAGTACAGTAGGTACTGAAGGTGCCGTAGATGTCGTAGGTGCCGGAAATGTGATTCTTACGGGACTGACCAGGGCAGTTTGATAACCCTACAAGCGTCCTAGAATGACATCAAACTCGAAGAGAAGAAGAAGGCACGGTAAACAATAACAACAACACATGGAATGGCAGCAGAGGCCTGTGCTACGAAGCAAGTTCAACATACCCAGGATAACTTTTAATTATCTGGCTTGACTGAACCCAACATTGACGGTCCTGATAACCTGTACTACAAAGCAGGTTATCAACTATATTGATACGATATTGATACTTGCCGGTAGGTTCGGTTATAATCGCGTCCACAAGTGACATTCAACAAGGTGAAATGTAAACAATATGATTGACTATATGACTATTTTCGCTCTTTTTTTCTGATGATGAACAAACTGTTATGAACATGGGATGCAGATAAAACAGTTGAAGTGTCAGACTTCAGAGAGGAGAAAGATTTGAGGAGAGAAGTAGTTGATGTCTGATGAGTCAGACCGACTGAAATGTTCATTTACAATCATGGAAATAATTAACTGGCTAATTTTTAAGGTTTAGTTTTCATTTCCAGTTGTGGTCACAGAGTCTCCCCATGTTATTCTGAGCTGCGGTGATGAGGAAGAGAGTAAAACCATCAACACTGTCAGGAATCCTGTCGGATTAAAGAATATCTGTTCAATTAAAATGAAGCTATAATAGTTATTATATAGGCTATTTAGCGTGATAAACACTCCGTGCATTTTTTAAAAAAGGCTTTGTTTTAAAACCAGAGCAAAGACTCAAACAGGAAAACTATTCCACTGATTTTTTAATATTTTATATCTACTGCTCATTTATTATTGATCACTTAATTGTAAACTCTTTTGTCCCTGTCAGGATCCTGAAGGAATGATGACTCCATTTTTCCAGTGATTTGATTGGTCAGTAGTTTGGCTGTTGACAGGTTTTGATCTGATCCTCTAAGTTAACCTGCGCCTGAGCAGGTTAGGAGTTCAGCATAGGTTACCATGGGGATTTACCTCGGTAACAAGTGAGCCACCGTCGTAGGACTGAATATCCAGAGTTAAACCTGAAGTTACCTCGATAACCTCTAATCCTGCTGTAACCGATGGTGGAAACACTGAATTTCATAGTAACATCAGCAAAAAAAAAAAAAAAACCTGTATTTAAGGCAACTTTTTAAAAACAATATTTTTGGTTGAAAAATGCTCCAAAATAAAAGGTTTTACCCACCCAGACTCACTGAACAGCCTGGCAAAAGTGCAGCAGGTTAAAACAGGTTTGGTAGGCTATGTCTGATTCAGGACCATACACCAAGGCCACATCTCCTGTTAATGTTCTCCAACTTTCATTATTACTCACTAAAGCTACAGTTCAAGACTGTTGCATATGGCATTACAATCTAAAACTGTATCCTCGATTGAATTATAGAGTAAAAAGAAAAAAATAGAGCTGAGTCTTGGAGCTACAGACTTTTTTGGCTCGCACAGAATCAATTTTTGTGTCAGCGAGGCTCAGTTTGGACATTTTCCCTCATTTAGGAACACTGTGTGGGCTGCCCTCTTTTTTCTCATGCAATCACTGCAACACAATATCATTTTTAACACAATCCCACCCTGTTCTGGATGCCCCTGATTCCTGCAACACAATCCAGCGCCAAACTGAGCACAGCAGACCCGCCCTCCTGGAGCACAGCAGCCCGTGTTTCCCATCCTCAACCTCCTTTAACATCACCTCCTCATATCCCAACCCACGCTGCACACCTCCAACTCCACTGCAATGAAACCGAAAGTCCAAAAAAAAGCTGAGCAACAAGTGACACCTTTTTCTTCGAGTGTTTTTTTTTTTTTTGCTCGGTGTAAACTGCATTCCTTTAAATCCTTCAACCTGAATTCGCAACAAACCAGCGGTGAGGGCAGGGGTGCTGTGGGATGTGCTGGGACAAGTTCAATGTGTAGTTGGCCAAGCAGACATGCTGCCCCTGCTGTAACTCAAAATATAAATATTTATAACGGGAGCGGAGACTTGAACAGGCACAGTAAGGAGGAATCTGTGTAACGTTCACTATCACACTCTTACAGGGAGTTTCAGCGCGTCGATGGTGAGTTTATAGCGACCACAACACATTGACTGATACTTTTTATCTCATATGAAGATGCTGTAATAACCCAATAAGGTGTAATGTTAAGAGATATCTGGCTTGTATGGGTCTAAAGTTGACTGTGCGGCTGCAACAGCTGCATGACGTCAGCCTTAATTGCGTGTTTATATGGCTTTCGTGGGATACTTAGCAGCTGGATTCTCACCTCGGGTTAATACTAATAACAGTGCGGTTGAACTAGCATGAGGTGTTTGTTGTGGAGGCTCGAGCTGAGGTGAAAAGACCGGAGTTGAGAGAACTTACTTGAAGGTGAGGATGCACAGCGGTCTGTAGGACTTGTGGCTCGTGTTGTCCGCCATCCTCTTGCCCCAGAAGTCGTTGCTGAAGATGTTTCTGAGGCTGGAGCCCGGTCGTACGTCCGGGTTGTTGATGATAGCCCACACATCGTCGTGCACCAACTCCCCGCGGAGAGAGTTGCTGTAGCACAGGGCACAGAGGGCGGCCAGCACGGCATAGCGACCCGCAGCCCACACCGCCTCCGGCCGGACGGTCACACGCGGCTGCAGACGGACTTTCTTCTCCCGTCCCGGTGCTGTCATGTCGGGCCTGGCTTCTCCCGCGGCTCCGCTTGGCTGAGGATGAAGCTGGGAGCACCGGAGGATACGTCCATTCCGCCTGGCAGGTAGCGGCTGTGTGTGTTGTGGACTGCGGGGACGGTGTGGATGTGTTGTGCTGCCTTCAGGTACGGTCGGGGAGCGTGGGACTTACGGCTTACAGAAGAGTACCAGTGTAGTTATATTCTTCTCGTCATCGCTTTCTTTCAGTGCAGATAAATTGAATACTAGTTAGTATTTAACATTAACCATTTTCTTGGTCTGAAGTATGTTTTAAAGTTTATTCATGACCTTGTCCTTTCACAAAAAAAATCTTAACTAAATGTCCACTTCTTTTTCAGCTCTCAACCACATCTCATGGCCTTTCTCCTCAGATGGAGGACTTTCAATGGGAAGAAAAGATCATGAAAAAGCTATTGTGATTTTTTCATTTCATTTTTTGTTTTACAGCTAGATTGAACGTGGCTAGCATAACACAGAAAATACCATAAACAATACACATGGTTGGGGAAATTATCGAATGACACCCACTTTAGTCTGAAGAGTTTTGTATTAGCACTAATATATTGATGTAAGAAAATAATACTATTATTATAAAATAGCATCAAAATTACTTTTCAGTAAGAAGTAACAACAGTCACAAAAAGTTTCTCCTGAAGAAATAAACTATTTGGACTAGAGAAAAAAACCCCGGAATTATGCAGGAAGAATGGAAGGAAGATTTGTAACTGGCAATAATGTCAGAATTAGTTTTATTAATTATGAAAACTGGACAAAATGCATGGTTGAGCTATCAATTGGAAATACGAGCTTATGTGGAGTACTTGAACATGGCACCAGCACGGAGAACCCGCCTGTGGACGCATGCGCATGACGACTCTGCCTCACTAGGCGGATAGAAACATCAGCAGCAGAAAAATCAGTGCAGCCTGGTGGAAACTGGACGAGTGCATGATTGCAATGGCAGAGACTTGACCTTTTCCTCCGAACACCGACCCATGAGTAACTAACGAGTCCGGCAGGAGGAGCAGGTGATAGGAGAACAGCAGCAAGGCTACAAGGATGCTCCTGCAGGAGAGGCACATAGGATGACAGGCAAAGCACATTCTTAACATCTCCCTCCCCCGTATAGAAAAACGCAGAATTGCAAAGTATCCAATTATTAATAATTTCATCACAGTTGAACTGCTGAATACAAGATGCCCTACTTCACTTTGGGAAAGTTTTGATGGGCACTCACTGTTTCCTGACATCGAATAGACAAATATTGGTAACACTTTGTAATACAGACCGCAATTTTCAGCCTACTTTCATTCTATAAATATGGCACTATTAAAATACTGACCGGTTCCAAATGGTCGTAGAGTGGAAGAAAACAAGACTATGTGGAAGGGGCAAGAAAGTAACAACTGGGCATTTTAGAGAAAAGAGAAATTAATTGCACTGCAAGTGCCCAGTCTTTACAAAAAATACTGGGTATTTACAGAATACAGTGCTGAGAAACAAAACTGAAGTGTGAGGAAAGTGGTGTTACCAACTTTTTTTGTTACTACGCACATTAAGAAAGAGGTTCTCCTGCTCTCTAAAATACCTGCTTGTTACTCCCTCCTTATCTATAATCCTATTTTCTATCTCTGCACTTATATTTAAGTATCAGTTGGAACCAGTCAGTATTCAATTGGTGTCTGATTCATACAAAAATCTCACTGTAAATCTTCAGTTGTATTATAAAGTGTTAACCCAAATATTATCACAAAAAACAGTCAACAGATTAATTGGTATTTAAAATAGATGCTAGTTTTATCCTTAAATATATAGCAAATAAGATAACAGGCTAGAATTAACAACAACAAAGTTGTTCATCATTATAAGCTTCACAAAGGAAGGATTTATTGCAGAGTTGTTGCATTGGCTCTAATTCAGTTGTGCAGATCTAGTGTACTGCCAAACTCTGGAATCTCACCAACTGTAATGTGTGTTTACATCAGTGTTTCAAAAAAAGCTCTCTCCTTGACTCCAATTGCGTTTTTTTTTTTTGTTTTGTTTTTTTTTTTATCTCCCAGGAATTGTGATAATCCGAAGGTCACACAGCAAAGGAGAGTGAGATTTGGGAGAGACCTAGAGAAAGAGTGCGTATGAGAGAGATTGCCTGAGGGCAGACAGCAGAGAGTCAGTCAACAACATGCTGAACATCTGGTGCGTCCCCGCGCAGCCTGACCAAGTCATTGCGATTCCTGTTGCATGGTGGCCAGCTGGTCACTGAGTGCTCAGCCTCCTGCTCTGACACAGAGCTCATTTCGGTCTGAGGCTCTCCAGCACCCTAGAACAGCTGCTCACACTGAATACAAGCTGACCTTCTCTCTTACAGCAGACTGAGAGATGAAAGTGAGGTCAGTCGGTGCTGGATTCTACAGTGAATGTTAACACAGCTCTCCATCACCTGTACATTTTCTCCTGTTGAAATAACTTGAAAAACTAATCAGGAAAGGAAAGTTACGTACAGCCCTGCATGAACTGGCAATCTGGTCAGGTCTGATCTGGCTTTAATAAGGTTGCCAGGTGAATATTAACTACAATAACATTGATTGTAATGTGAAACTGGTCGCTCCTAGTGATGAACCCTCAGAAAATGATCACAAACTCTGCAGCCCTTCGGCGCTTTTTGGCCTCGTTTAACTCATCATTTTGGTTTCACAGCACATCTACGCGCTTAGTTTCAGTGCCCTCATCAACCCTTGTTTTCAGGAACAGCCTGGTGCCAGACCTCTGACTTGCTACACACATTTTCATATTTTTTAGCATTTGAAATATAAAACCACTGATTGTACAGGTTGTACTGTAACTATGACACAAGTGATGGCATTTTGGTAAAAGAATGTGGCATTATGACACGTCTGATAACCGTTTTATAACATTTGTTTATCCAGGAAAGACTGATGAAGCATCTATGCATTTGACGTAACACCAGTGGTGTGTGTGTGTGTGTGTGTGTATGTATGTGTGTGTGTGTGTGTGAAAAAGGGAGACAGAGAGCAAGACACACGCACATACGCTCCTGTGATTATTCCCTCGTGTGTGTATGTATGGGTGTCTGTGAGTGATTCGTAGTACTCAGCCACGCAGATGCACATGTGACTCTTCACAATCTGGATTCATCTAAACTTTCCGACCAAGACACATCAACAGCCTAAGTGTGATTCATTATTCTTATTTTATCTGTCTTCATCATTTATGCAGCTTTGTTTTGATTTTTATTTGTACGTGTGATTTTCCATCAGGTCGTTACTATAATAATGATTTAGTGAAACCAACTTTCTTTTTCAGTAAAAGTAGCATCTCATGTTTTATCCTTGAAACACATTGCAGTGCAAACGCTGTTGTGTAACATTAATTACTAACCCAGGACGTGAGATACATTAGAATTGTTGCTAAAATAGTGTCGGTCTGATGGTCTGATATAATCATGAAAACATTTCTTCACCAAATTATTAATATAGTAACTACCTGATGGAAAATGCATCTGCGGGGCTGAGTTGTATACTAATCACACACTGATGCACATACTGTACATACACACATGTGGGACCCGAGCATCTTCTCCTCCGTGTCCCTTTTCACTCCCCCATAACATATGTGAGCGTTACGGCTCCGTGCTCTGGGGCAGCACTACTCAGAGGCTGCAGATTTAAGAACATATCAGTCCAGCTGTCTTGAGATTAGTGATGCAGGGTCAGGGTTTCTTAATACTCAGACTCACCCCACTGCACTCTCTCATTATTATTCTAAATTTAAAAACTACCGCCTCTCAGAATAGTTTCAGGCTACATCCCTGTTTATCCAGAGTCATATAAAATATGAACCATTTGTTTGAAATTTTGTCATAATTTCTGTGTGAAGTCTTGAGTAATGGGTAAAATGTGTTTTTTGAGGTCACACTGACCTTGACCTTTGACCTTTGGCCAACAAAATTTAATCAGTTCATCCTTGAGTCCAAGTGAATGTTTTTGCCAAGTTTGAAGAAGTTCCGACAAGACGTTACTGAGATATTGTGCCACGAGAATGGGAGAAAACAATATGCCTCTGCCTGTTGCTGTTGCCAACATGGAGGCATAAAAATCATACGTAAACAAGAACTAAACGCTTTTTAAAAAAATCTAATGGCAAATATTAGCCTGATTTATTGTTATCACATGTCTGGACTTTTGAAATTATCACAGTTATCACAGGTTTATCTTGGCGATTGACCCCCCTTTTTTTTTTGTTCATAAGTCCTAAAATTCCTGATGTTATGTACCTTTCTGCTACTGACTGTTTGATTGTACGTGCATCAATAACGCGTTGAAACAAGAATATATAATGGTTTGCTGCGCTGTGTCTTTGCAGCAGTGACAGTCATCCTAACACCTGCACCTTGCACATTTACCTATTAAGTCAGGCGTCTATTTAAAGCCCACAGTTATGTGCAACCTGTGTGTAAGGTTTAATTTGACTGTGAGAGTGTGGTGCTTTGGACAGGATTTATAGACAGCCTGCCTTCGTCCCCTGCATCAACAAAATCCTGGAGTTCTTTTAGCAACAGTGGATTTTGCAGAGGCGTGCTACACCTGTTAAAGTCACTAAAATAGACACGTTTTTTTTATCTAGACACATGCTTGCAGCTTTTTTCATTACTGAAATTTCTAGCTTGGTGCATGGTTTGATCACTGTTCTCACTGTATGTATAGGGATAGGTCTAACCCATCCATTGAATTATGCTGTGTACATACTACAGAAGAAAACATCATATCATACACATATTGCTTAGTTAAAGATCAAAGGGGATCTTTTTACATGGTTGGATGACTGTTGACGAGGTGATAGATCTGTTATTTAAAAAAACCTGTCAGAACCATGGACAGCTTCAGGAAGGGAGTGGGGAGAGAAAGGGAGAGCAAGACACTATTAAGCTATGGCTGCCCCTGACCGAATATTACAAAGAGATGTTACATAACTCATTTGTCACTGCACGGAAAAATTGTTATGGGAGGTTGTTTCCTGCATCCATTCT